TTAAGCCATTCTCTTTCAATTTCACCTTAATAAAGTCTTTTAACATCAACCAATTCAAACAAAATTTGGACCTACTCTCTTTTGAGTTGTCTGGAATAACTGAAGAGGGCAAATTCAATTTTGTAATTCCATGAAGCAAAAAGGCGGAACAAAATAAAACTCCTTAGGACCTTGCTCAAATTCAAACTTGAGACCAAATGGAAGTATATCTACCCAGGTACCACTACATCAGCTTCCTTTATTGTCCCAAATATCTCAATAGTTAATATAAATACACTTAAAGCAAATTATCATTTACATACACACAGTTTTTTAAATTTTATCAGGGTTATTATAAAATCGCACCTAAACCTTTAATTCATGATGCAAATTGTATATTAACACTAGGAAATATAAATTATTCCAACTTCAAATAAGTAATAGTAATAATTTGACTTACGTGCAAAACATAAAATAGAGAAATGAGAATATAGTTAGACTTACGTGCAAAACATATGAAAGTTGTTAGTACTCATCGCTTACCTAACCTCAAAGAAAAGTATTTTCAATGAATGAAATCCTCTATATAAATCAACTCGATACATATCAGGCTCTTAATTTCTATCAAAGACATTTCAGTTCTAAGATAGGAGCCATGTCTGTCGCAGCATCTCTCCATGACAACACTAGAAGATGTGCCAATTTTGCTCCTGACATTTGGGGGAATATGTTTCTTCAACATGCTTCAGAATCTGAGGTATTTAATACAGTACACACACCATTATATGAAACCTATTGATCGAGTGTAATATATCTAGCAAGTTTGCTATTACTAGAAAAAAATGTACGAAAATTACCTGTCCGTTGAGTGTTCATCAGTTAAACTTAAACCTGATAGTTGCAAGTGAAAATTACAATAATCGCTTGTTTGTTATTTTCCAGGATGTTGATGACAGCGTGGAGCATAAAGTGCATAAAGAGAAACTAAAGATGTTTATACCTTCCAACCGTCAGAGTCGTTCAGAAATGCTAAACTTCATTGACTTGGTCCAACGTTTTGGAGTCTCTTACCACTTCGAACAAGAGATTGAAGAAGCGTTGGCAAAGATTCACAGCATGTATACCAGCAACAACAACATCCTTATCATGCATCAGGATGGAGATGATGATCTTCACTCTCTTGCTTTACTCTTTCGATTGCTGAGGCAACATGGATATCCCATTTCATCTGGTATTTGTTACACTATTCAAGCTTAAATTGTCAGTATATATTATTTTGCATTATCCAATGTGAGGAGCTTTATCTAGGGAAACCTGGGATTATTACCACAATCCGCTTAGATTAATTTGAACCCCATTTTGTGATACCTTTAGCATTTTTATTTGACATAGCTAGCAATCCCAAGACTTGCACCCGATACTGTAAGATAACCTGATTTGACACCCTTGACCAGTTGAAAGCTGTGAAGAGCTTTTCTCTTTCATTTCAAGAGCTCACACTAATTCATTTCATAGAATTCCAAGCAGTTTCACTAATTCGCATGTATATGAACAGATGTATTTGAGAGATTCAAGGACGACAAAGGAGAGTTTAATATTAATCAAAATCTTACCAAGGACGTCGAAGGAATGTTGGCCTTGTATGAAGCGGCACAATTAGAGATTCATGGAGAGAATATACTTGATGAAGCTCTTCATTTCACTTACACTCACCTTAAATCCCTCACTGATAACAACCAATTGAGCCCTATTCTCAATGCACAAGTCAGCCACTGCTTAAGTCAGCCTCTGCACAAGAGATCGCTTAGGCTAGAGGCAAGACATTACATGTCTTTCTACCAGCAGCAAGATCCTTCCCAAAATCAGATGATAATGTTGCTCAACTTTGCAAAGCTAGATTTCAATATGCTGCAGAAACTGCATCGAAAAGAGCTTGGCAATATCACCAAGTAAGTGAAATGTACTATAGTATGTGATCTTAACTAGTACAATGATCCATAGGATTATATAAATGTAAGGAAAAATGATATTTTATGACCTTCTAAAAATATTAATCACAGTTAAAGATCTTAAAATTATGAATTTTTAGAAATAGATCATGGTTTTTACTTGAAATTAAAAATTTTCAAGATATTATTGAATTTTTTTGGTGCTTATCTGTAAACACTGTATTTTATTTGGGCACTTATAAATAAATAAGATAACATCTATAATAAAATAATAAAAAATGAATAAAAAAGAGAGAATGGAAAATGGTTTATAACAAGAAAATAAGTAAATAAAAAAAATTAAAAGGTCTTTGAGTGAAGATAATGAAAAATAACACAAATATAATCAAATCAAATCACAATATAATGTAATAATGTATGAGCTAAAAAGATTTGAATATCTCAAAATAACATAATAATCAAAATTGTAATGATAAGAAAATTTAGGAATTTTTTTAAGTATATAATAAGCAATTTTATTCCAGTATTAAAGAGAAGTTAGTGCAAACTCAACATAAAGAGAGAGAGATAATTAAAAGTTTAAATCAAATAATTATTTGTTTTTATTAATATTTTGATAATAATGTAATGGTAAAAACACATATACTTGTATGTTGATTCTGAAAATAATTAAATATTATAATTAATAGGAACAGATTTTGATGATTTTTTTTTAATGAAATAGATGCAAACATAAGCTAGTGATTCAGTGGAACCATGCTTGTTGCCTATCCTGTGGTCCTAAATTCGAATCGTCACTGGGCTGATGGAAATTTTTATTTTATTTGATTTTAAACACTTTGAAATTACCAAAATAACCTTCATAAAAAAACACGACATTATATTCCACCCTATTTTCTTTTCCTTCGTTGGGGGTGGGGGCATCTGAACATTGATGATTATAATATTAATTATAATTAAATATTATAATTAATAGGAACAGATTTTGATGATTTTTTTTAAAATGAAATAGATGCAAACATAAGCTAGTGATTCAGTGGAACCATGCTTGTTGCCTATCCTGTGGTCCTAAATTCGAATCATCACTGGGCTGATGGAAATTTTTATTTTATTTTATTTTAAACACTTTGAAATTACCAAAATAACCCTCGTAAAAAAACACGACATTATATTCCACCCTATTTTCTTTTCTTTCGTTGGGGGTGGGGTCTGTTTGGTTCGAGGGGAGGGGAGGGGAGGTGAGGGGAGAGGAGGGAAGGGAGGGGGCGGGGGAGGAGGGGAAGGGGAAGGGAGGGGAGCTTCCCCCCAATTTGGAGGGGAGGCTTCGGAGGGGATGGGAGGGGAAATTTTAACTCCCATCCTCCTAACCAAAGGAGGGGAGAGGAGGGGAGGGGCTCCCCTCCTTCTAACCAAATGAGGGGAGGGGAGAGGAGCCCCTTCCCTCCCCTCCCCTCCCCCCCAACCAAACAGGGCCTGAGGGGAGAGAGGTTCGTGACTCTTCTTCTCTTCCGCCAAAAACATGAGGGAGTGGTGAGTGAGAGATCTTCTGTCCACTCATCGTCGAGGTGTGTGAAAGGGAGATCCGTTGCCGATGGAGGTCACCAAAATTTTCTCCGTTCGTGTCGCTGCTGGGGGCCAATGTCGCTAGATTCTCCTCCTCTTCTGTTCATGTTGCTGTTTTTCTCCTTCCTTCTTTCACGTTGTTGCCGCCTTGGCGTAAGTGAGGGAGTTTTGATTCTTATTTATCCTTGCTGTCATCTATTTACTATTATAGATTGCTGTTTAGCTCGTGATTCCTTTCTTCCCCTGTTGCGTCACCTCTGTTCTTGTGTGGAAGTGAGCTTGCCTCTTTCATTTCTTTTTCCGTCGACGCAGTGTGGTGTGTGGGTATGTGCAGAAACTCTTCTCAATTTATCCTCAGTATGTGCGTGCGTGTAGCATTTTAGTCCCTTATTTATTGGCTGCTTGCTGTGGTTTGTGAGGGATTTAGATTCTAATATTATTGGATTTAAATATAATTTTGGTAAAGAATGAATTTGGTAAACATAGTAAATTTAAATAATGATGATTGAAAAGTTGTTGGGAATGAAATTTAAAGAGTAAAATGATTGTCATATACTTAAATTTTTGCATGCACACGAGGTGTTCGATGAAATGTTCGAAAAAGAAAATTTATGAAAGATGGAAACAAAGTAAAATAAGTCTTTAGTATGCATGTTTAGAATTTAGATATAAGCTCTTGGGATCTATCCAACCTTCTAAAAGGCATCATTTACCTACCAAACTTGTTATGATTCTTGATTGAAAATTTATTATCACTTGAACTAAATTTGTAATGCATTTAAAAATGTAGATTGTTGGCTTATTCTTTGGTTTAGTCAAGGAAAAATAATTAATAAGTGTATGATGTGTGGTTTGAATTTGTTTTATCAAATGAATGAGTCTTTTTTGGAGTTAATATAAGTATATAGTTTTAGTTGTTTTATTAAAAGAAAAAGGGAGTCGTAACCCCTCCAGGTAAAAAAAAAAATGCTCTGAATTGAAAAATTATGGAAGCTTGCTAATTTGGTTGGATTGCAAGTTTTAAATAAAATGTATAATAGAAATAACAATGACTTCACTTTGTGAAGTAGGGAATTAAGGCATTGACATTATTATAAAAGTGGCTAATTAGGAGTAACTTATATGTTTGGGAATGTTTCAGGTAAGTAAACAGTACCTCCATTATTCTATCAATAAAAGTAGTTTGTTTTTGAAAATATTACATTTTTATATAAATCAGTTTTTTAACAACCATGATGAATATTAAGTACTTTGTAATTAAATTATTTTGGTTTTGGAAATTATAGAATGATGATGAAGGATAATTAAATTATGATATGTGCATGTATTTCCCTTAAGAAATATACTTTCAAAATTGATGAAGGCATCTTTGTTTATTTTACTTTGAAAATTCTTGCTTACTCAACTAATGCAAGTTTGTACATTAACTATGAAGTATTATTTTGGCAAGTTTTGAGATTTGAAGCAATTCATATGAGTTTGGCATTGAGAATGAAAATCTTATTTTAGAAATGATTATTTTTCTCGCATGTTTGAAATGTGATTTCTAAGAAGATTCTACACAGAATACTAGTTGTTAACAACAGTTTCGTTAGCTCTTGGCACGCCATAGTCAATGATTAGTTAGTTCGATTTTTGTAAGCTTTATTCTCACGTTTGTTATTCATGAATATTGTACCTGCATTTGATTTTGTGGTTTCGGTCACGTTTGGTTATTTATCTTCGTGGACTATGTGTCCACATTTGTTTCGTGGCTTTAGCTGCATTTGATTACTTACTCTCGTGGGTTGTGTGTCCACATTTGTTTTGTAGCTTAGGCTGCATTTGATTACTTACTCTCGTGAACTGTGTGTTCATGTTTATTTTTGTGGCATAAGATGTGTTGGGTTATTTACCTTCGTGGGTTGTGTGTCCACGTTTGTTACCTGTTCTATTAAGTCCTCAAAATTTTAAAGTTTTAATCAACTTGTGTATTTGAAATTTCAATGGTTTCAATTAGCAAGTGTACCACTTCTATTTATAGATGATCAATTATTTTTCTAAATACAATCAAAATAATATAATTTTAGTTTACTCTCATCTTTATAGTTATGATTATGATTTTAAGATCAAGTTTTGTTTTCACATAGAATTATTCTCTTTTCAATTATTTTAAATAATTCTTGGATTATTTTATTTTATTTATTTACTAGGGATTCTATTCATTGAAAAAATATTTTGTTCTCAGATTCATTAGTTGATACTGAACTTCCTGCCGGTCATTGAAAGGCTTGTTACTGTATTGGGTGAATATTTATTTTAATTATGTGTGTTATTTGGAGACTATAATTTAAGTGCTCCACATTAACTATAGATGTAATTCTAGTTTGTAAATTTATATCGACTGTCTATTATCGAGGAACAAAACTCCGTATTATTAATTTGTCTGTAAATGGTTGTTGTAGAAATTTGGAGGGTCCTATTTACGAAGGAAATTTTGCAAAAATCTCTACATCAAGTTTAATAATCTTTTGTTTGTATGAAAAATGTTACCATGATTTCCAATTCCAATTTTATTCCAAATAAATTAAGATATTAAATTAAAATTTTTGATCAAGACTAAAGAGATGTGTGTTTGTGCATATATCTTATGCCGGTTATGTCTATTTTTTGGGCGTGACAAAAATATAAATTAAATATAATATCTATTATTATGATTTGAACATTTCAAGATAATATAATATCTAATATTTTGGGATGCATGAAATTTTCATAAATCTTACCAGAAGATTTCCCCAAAATTGTTTCTCAAAATTTTGTTGCAAATAAAGAAATAAAATATAAAATCCAACATTAAAATTATTTTACAAAACATTGATAATTAATATTTTTCTTAGAAAAAATTCTCAACCAAGAGACTCACATTGTTACCCTAAATTATGTGGGCTTTGATTCCTTTACAAGGTACGTAGGCTTTAGATTTTCATCCTAGATCAAATCCAACTTATAAATAAATAAAATTTTCTTTTTAATTGTCTTATTTTTTATTAAGGATAATTAAGATATTTTTTAAAGTTATTTAAATTTATATAGTTAATTTGCAGTAACCATTCATATGAATAAGTGTTGTCGGATGTCTAATGCTTTTCTCATATACATTTGACTCCCATACTCTTTCCTATACGTAGACTACTTGTTTAAGAGGTTTCCAAAATTGCCCTTTAAAATTTTGGTGGCAACACCCAAATATTATTTTTATTCAATTTTCCCTCTAAGGAAATTCTAGATTGGGTGCGGCATCATCTTTCATATTTTAAACAGCAATGTTTAGCATTTTTATCAGTACTTATCAGTTTTTTTTTTTTTCAGTAATCACGTCAATTGTTTTCAATATTTATCTTCGAAAAGTTTATGTACAGAAAAATTAAAGATAAGAGTAAAAGTTTTTATTTGTTCTTAGAGAGTCTTTAAATGTGATTCTCCCTAACAGTGAAAACTCATGTTTAATTAATTTATTTGTATTACAGGTGGTGGAAAGAATCAGAATTTACGAGGAAGGTACCCTATGCTAGAGATAGGTTGGTGGAGTCCTACTTTTGGGCTTTATCCCTGTCCTATGAGCCTCAATTCAGCATTGCAAGAATGTTAGCTGGCAAGCTGGTTGCTATTATCGCTGTTCTTGATGATACCTATGATGTCTATGGCAAACTTGAAGAACTTGAGCCCTTCACAGAGGCCATCCACAGGTTTAAATGTTCATTCACATATTATATTTACCAATCCTGTCACTGAAAATTAATCATAAATTTTATTACTTAATTACTCTTTTTATCTGATTATCCAGATGGGATATAGGTCTCATTAAATCTCTTCCAGAGTGCATGAAAGTGGTGTTTGAGGCAGTTGTAGAATTGTTCAGTGAAATGGAGATGGTGACTACAAAACAAGGGACATCAACTTTTGTGATGCCACATGTTAAACAAGCTGTATATATAAGCGAAACTTTATAACTTATTGTAATTTCAAACACACACGTGATATTCCATTCCATTTTAACCTAGTTACATATTTTGGTTGTAGATTATCAACTCGGCTAATGCGTACTTGATGGAAGCAAAATGGTGCCATGAACACTGCGTTCCAAGCTATGAGGAGTACAAGGATAATGGAGCTGTTTCTACTACTTGCCCACTTCTGATATCTTCATTTCTCGGCCTTGGAAACCTTGCAACCAAAGAGGTGTTTGAATGGCTTGCCACACATCCCAAAATTATTGGGACCATGTCAACGATTGGCAGACTCCTCGATGACATGGCCACTCATAAGGTAAAACTTAAGATACCATGCATAAATATGAATTCATCAACCCTAATTAATTTTGATGTTTATAATGAAACAAATGAAACCACAGCCGTTCCTTTTATATACCCTTATATTTTAGAATATTCCATGTGATCACTACGGTGGAAATACGTTAGAAGGTCTATCAGGGACTTATAGCCTAGCTTAGTTATTGATCTATTTGGGCAAAATATGTGCAACTAAGCTCAGGCTTATTATAATTAGTTCTATTTAAGCAAAGAAGTTACGCTTATTTACTTAACACTGGGCTTATAACCCAACATGTTTATATTTTTATATTATATTTACATATACTTTATGTATCATTTGATATATAAATATATAAATAATATGAATTTTGTTAATTTATTCAAAAAATTTATTGTTATAAGTTAGGAATTAAACTCACATACAAATTGAAATTTCATTTTATATCATATTAATTAACTATTATCATAAATTTGTGGTATAAAAATTAATTATTATCATAAATATAAGTAAATACCATTTCCTCTCTTTTATAAGTATAAGTAAATCTCTACATAACCAAAACCTAGCTGGGTCTATTTCTGCCTTGCATGTCATAAAGCATACATATCATATTCATATTAAATGGGAGAAATGATACGAGAAGCTCTAATGGTTAATGCATGTTTATGTGTAGTTGGAGCAGGAGAGAAAGCATGTTGCTTCAGGAGTTGAGTGTTGCATGAAACAATTTGGAGTTTCAGAAGAAGAGGCTCATAAAATGCTCAACGATGACATCAAGAATTGCTGGAAGGATATTAACGAAGAGTGCCTGAATAATCCACACAACGTCCCAAAGTCTGTGCTTGATTGTGTCGTCAATTTGGCTCGAGCGGCTGAGGTTTTCTATGAAAACAAGCAAGACAGATTCACCAACGGTGAGTCTCTCAAACATTATGTTGTCCAACTCCTTCTGGATCCCATACCCATTGAGCCGTGACAAGTCACAGCAACATTAGTTATAGTTGAGCATCCTAAAATTATAAAGTTTTAGAAAAAAATCATGGTCTTTAGTTGGGATTAATTTTTTTTATTGAATTTTTTCAATCTAATCTTTTATATTTCAGCACCCATCTTTTTACTTTTTCAATAGTCATCTTTAGCATTTCCAGTACTCAATTTTTCATTTTTTTAAATAGTCATCTATGATGTCTCCAATACTTTTCCATGATTTCAGTACTGAAAAAAAAAAATTAAAGATAGGTGTTTCGTAGTACTGAAAACAAGAAATATGGGCATTGAAAACATCTAAGATGACTATTGAAAAGTTTAAAAATCAAGTACAGGAAGTGATGCTAAAATATGAGTGCTGAAAATATGAAAGATGAATGCTGAAAATAAAATTTTGATTCCAGTTAAGGACTATGGTTCTATGTTGAAATTTTAAAATTTTAGGATTCTTAACTATAAATAATATTATTAGAGGGTCTTTAAATGTCATTCTCCCTACATTTTATACTTAAGACCTGTTATTTTAATTTTTTCTTGTCAAGTTTGTTGGTGATATGGATTACATGTCCAAGCCACTTCCTATGTTTGCAAAGTTTGTGCGTGGTCCTCCTCTGTTCGAGGCATGAATAAAAGTGATCACATTATAGTGGGTCTAACTTATCTTATCTGGTGTCGATCAATGACTTGCCTCTGTTTTTGCATTTCTATAATTCCAGAGCTTTTCATGTTCCTATTCATATTTATAATTCGTTCTATCAAATATCTAAAACAATTAATATTATTTTCTAATTATATGGCCTTTGGGGTGTGTGTGTGTGTGATATATTGTTGGGTGATTATGATTGTTGGGATTTGAGAATGGAGAAAGAGAGGGACTCCATAGAAAAGAAACTTTTATTATTTACTCACAGTACAAGATTCACAAACTCACGACTTTTCTCCAATTCTCACACTCTCACTCCTTTGCTTTTCCTCACACAGCACACTTCACTCTCTTGCACTCTAGACACACAATGATTAGCATTCTGAGGCCATTTCTTCTCCACATCATTCTAGAATTTTATTTTCTATTCCAACCACAGGTTTCTTCATAATTCTAGATCCGTCCCTTTAATTTATTTATTTGTTGGTTGGTGATTCCTTAACAATGATGGGGGAAGATTTCAGAATGATGATCAATAATTTGCATTTGATTATTAGTATTTGTGGAAAGTTGAGGTAATTTTAAAACATTTAACAGAGTTCAACTAACATTCTTAATTTAGTTGAAATAGTTAAATGTGGCATGCAAATGGGAACAAAAGTAGCATCTGCATAAAATTCCACTACTTTTTCAATGTTGTGCATAGTTTTTTTTTTTTTGGTAAAATGCACTAGAGCTTTTATTTTTTTTAGAGTTAATGTAAATTTCTTGAAGCTTCCATGCATAAAAGCACAATTGATATCTTAAAGTATATTTTTGGCTCAATATTGCCTTGTCATTTTTTAAAAATAATGGAACAATGTCACCTGGACCTGACAGAATAGAGACACTGATCAATAGTTGACTTAACTCTAAAACCCCATATTCAATCTCTACCAACGTGGTCTGCCCATTTTTCACAGATCAGATACTTCGAATCTGACAAAAGCAACCACAAATAATAAAACTAACAAACATACTTCATTGTAAGAGATTTCTCTTTCAAATAGAAGGATCAAATGCACCGGAAGTCTAAGGGTCTTTTGGCCTATAACGTGGACGATGGGATAATGTCTATGATTATATAATTCAAAGTTTAATGATTATCTACATATAAATCACAATTAAACCTAATATACCAGATTAAAATTAAATTAGTAGATAGGCGTAGCTACTAAAAGTTAATATATATATATATATATATATAAATAGGAGATCATTGACAATAAAGTCCCAAAATAAAGAATTTATGAGTGAAGTCCCTGATAAAACTCATAACTGATTTTACAAATTTTTTTATCGAAAACCTAATTATCATAAATTTATTGTTTTGTGACTTTATCGTCATTCTCCCTATATAAATTGGTCTTCTTCCTACCTACGGGGGAGACAAATGCAATCTATCAGTTTTATGTGACTTAAAGTGAGAAATTGGGTCAAGGGAGAGAAACCAAAAATTGTGAAATTATTGTATAGTTGGAGATTCTATAGTCCTTCATGTATGCAATTCAATTATATATATATATATATATATAGTGAGCAAGAACATCCGGCTAGGTACCATAACAAAATAATAATAATAATAATAATAATAATAATAATAATAATAATAATAATTTTACGTGTAGCAAGAAACTAAGGCAGTTATAACATTTATATATAATTTTTTTTATTATTGGTCTTACCAAACATAAAAAAGGACTCTCTCTGGTCTTATTTATAAGTCACTCAAAATTATTTCACTAAAATCAAGGAGTGATAGTGTCATGCCCCAAAAACTTGACATGATTGGCATCAGATACATTCACAAATATCCATCCCATAAGCCTTGATAATAAAAAAAAACACTAATATAAGATCTTGATGCATTTGAAATATCATTAGAGATCATTGCAACACTTTCATATAGACAAAATAATCCCAAACTTTTTGAAGAAATTTTGGCAAAACTTTCCTATAAATAGGACCTTCTAAAGTCTCTGCAAGAGTCATTTGTAGAACCAAATCAACCAATTTGGAGCTCTGCTCCTCCACAACAGACATATAATATAAATCACAGATCAACATCCTATCTATAGGTAATGTGAAGTGCATGAATCAGACTATAAAAATAATACATAAGCTCACATTTAGATCAAGTTGAGATTTGTCCAAATAAATTCTTCTACTTCAATTCAGCAACAAATCTCCTCAATGATCAATAGGAGATACAAGTCCCAATTTATTATCTGAGGCCAAAATATTATTTAGTGAATAAGGTCCCAATTTAAAATTAAAAAATAAAGAGAATATGTATTGATGACTTAAATCACAAATTTAACAGAAATATTATTTGAAAACAAGTTAGAAACTCAAACCTCATACGCCACATGATTCTATGTAAATATATATATATATATATATATATATTTTATGAATCTAGATAACGATGACATAGCATTAGAATTTCACTTTTATATTACAATATATGTTTTAAAAAATTAAGTATATGTAACTCTTTTCAAAATCTGTATGTGAAAAAAATACAACTCATTTAACAAATATCATTTGAATAAACAAGTAAGTTTCAAAAATCAATTTTTTTAATAGGACTTAATCAAAATAATTGACAAATGTGGACATAAAATTAATGAGAGCAAATAACCAACAAGCATGAACATATAGCTTATGAAGGTAAGTGACTAACAAGCATAGATATATAGTCCAAGAGGGTAAATAACTCACAAGCATAGCTTAAAGCTGTGAAATGATCAAGCACAGCCACAAAACAAGCACAAGCACAAATTAAAACTCACGAATAACAAGCGTGAGTAGTAAGCTCATAAATAATAAGCTAGCTAAGATTTAACCATGGTATACGAAGGGCTAATGAAATTGTTCTTAGCAACCATAGCTTTGTATTTAGTCTTATTGAAATATTTTTCAAACATGTATGGAATCAAATTATCGTCGAAACAAAATATCATTTTTCAAATATTGAAATTCACAAGAGTATTCCTAAACATTAGACTTTCTTGACACAAGTTCTCAAGTGATGTCTTAAAGCCTTTATCTGTTCCATGCATGAGTATTTGCCAAATACAATCATTGTTTTAGATTAACCTTAAAATATCAATAGATATGATATAAATAAAGAAAACTTGCCTTGATGAAATCTCCCTAAACAAAACTAATAGTTTAATTTAATTTAAAAATATGAGAAATGGTAAAAAAATCACTTGTAATGGCAATTCTTATGAACATTCATTTTTTAAAAAAAAACTAATTCTAATCCTTTCAATAAATCTAATATAATGAAAACATCTCAATATGTAATTGTCAACAATGGAACTATGATCATAAACCATTAAGCAAGAATAAATTAAGATACTACATCATTTATTCTTGATAAATCAAAAGAATTGTATTAATGGAAGAGGTGACACCTGAATATACTAAATCAATATTTAAAAAAAAAAAGAATCTGCTAACAAGTTGGCATGCAATTTACTTACCTCATGTGTTCTCAAATCCAAAGATTAGCACTTTCAACTTCTTTCAAGATTCTCTTCTTCCCTACAAATCACACTACAAAACATAGTAAATTAGCAACAGAATAAATTTTCATCACCAATTCATCACAAATCCATCACTAATTTACTGACAAAATTTAGCAACAAAACATTCCGTTACTATTCTATCACCAAATTGTCAGAAATAATTTCACTGATGGCATTTAGCAATAGAATGTTCCATTATTAAAAATTCTGTAACTATTCTATCACTAAATCATAAGAAATAATTTAGCAATGAAATTTTTTTATGGCAATATCCGTCACTAATTTTTAAGATACGTTATCCTCATTTTGTGACATTTCATAAACCTTTTAGTCATAATTTCATCGCTAATTCTGTCACAAATTGTTTTAAATTTTATTATATGATTTATAATCTATATTTATATATAATTTATTTAATAATTTATTATTATGCTATAAATAAATAATTTAATAATTATAATTTATCATTTTAAATTATTTAGATATTAATAATAATTATAATAATTTAAATTATATATTTAATTATTTTTTGATAACATAGTAACATACCTAATTATTTTTATTTAAAAATATAAATATTTTTAAAAATAATTTTAAATACAAAATATTATATATTAAAAAATTATAATATAATATATTGTGATAATAAAATATCTGCACATTTCAATATTAAATTTTCTATCAAAAATAATTTTTTAAAAAACATAATATAATATAAATAAGTATTATATATTTATTTTATTGATAAATAAAAATAATGTTAAATAAATATATTTAAATTATATATTTATTGATATATATATATATATATGAGCGGTTAAATATTATAAAGTTAATTTATGAATTAAAGAATAAAGATCTCATTTAACTCAACTGGTAATAAGGTTGGACACAAAAGCTCACAAGTGTGTAAGGTTGTGGGTTTGAACTAGAGATGTCAATTAGGATCGACCCTTGAAGGGACAGGGCCTAAATGAGTCGGTCCTAATAAGCTTGATTATATAACAAGGTTTCTTTTTACAAGGCTTAACCCTAGCCCTCAGGGTTAAAGAGCCTGCCCTTAGGGCCTCAACCCTATTTTTAATTTTTTTGAATTTAAAATTATAAAAAATATATTTATAATCATAAAAAAAGTTATTATACATAAAATTAGGTTTAAAAAAATAATTTAAATCAATTTACACCACAACAATAAATAAAATTTAAACATTTAGGTCTAATATCAAAGTTAATACCAATAAATTAAAAATGAGACTTAGCTAATATTATCAGCTAAATCTTAATAAATGAATGAGGGATGGATGAATGCATTTAATATATTCATTTCTTTGATTTATATATTTAATCTTTTATTTTTTTATATTATAATTTTTTTAAGAAAATAATAAAAAGGTTTAAAAGGACCGGCTTTTTTAAGTCAGAATTACCATTTTTCCTTTTAAAATAGCGGTCCAACCCTAATTATTTTTGAGTTTAAAAGGGTTGGCCTAACGGGCTCAGCCCTAATTAACAGCTTTAGTTTGAACTTGACCAAGGCACATTTAAAATTATTTAAAATTAATATATGACATGGAGGTGACATGACAATGACGTGGTGATGTGGTAGGAAGGAAGTGGTAGTAAGGTGGTAGTGGCCCATTGGTTGACATGGCAATGGTAATTTTTTATGAAACTTTCATTTGCTATGAATTGGCAACGGAATGCAATGCGTCACAAAATTAAAATAGTTTATCCTTATTTAGTAACGAAAATTTTCTATCACTAATTTCATTGCTAATTATCGACAAAATTGTAATTCCATCACTAGTTACATGGCTAATAAATTAGCGATGGTGTTTTTACCATGGGTCACTAATTCTGTTGCTAATCCACTAATTTTTTTTTTGGTAATGTCAGAGAATAGCTGAAGAGAAGGAATTTGCAGCTCCACATAGATCATGACAATACTGAGAAGAGGAATTATGTTGATCTTGTGAGAAATATTGGACGGAAGATCTAGGCACCGCTGCTACACGAAGAGAGGAGATCGACGACGAAACAAAGGAAAGAAGAAGACCACAAAATCAAACCTGTGACAGGGGCATAAGCGCAACACAGTCACTGGCGACTGACGGAGTGGATGAAGAAGGAAGAAGAATGGCTGTTCGAAGCTTGAACACTTGAACTCCCTCTTGATTGTTTCTGTCTCCACTGGAAAAGGAAAGGGGGGAAAAAGCGAAAGGGGAGGAAGAAAGTGAGACCTGACATGCATGTGTTTTGTTTTTTGTTTTTTGTTTTTATTTGGGTTTTACTTATTGGAGGGCATAATGGCAATTTCATGTAGATTTGGCATAAATAAAAATCTCCCTGTGTGCACCAAGGATTCAAACACGAGGCTTGATTAATAAGCACCAAGATGAAATTCACTAAGCCACCATACATCTTGTTAGTCTTCCCCACAACAATTAATAAAATACAATAAATATATCTTATTATTAATTTTTTAAATATATTTTGGGCTATTACAGATAGTTAAAAATTTCATGTTGTTTAAAAAAGAAAAAATTTCTCAAGTTAACCTCATTAATTATCAAAAATTGTAAGAGAAAAATTGGAAGGAAATAATTAATTATCCATCTTTTTATACAAAAAGACTTATAAAAAAGATCATGAATTCCTTCTGATTTATATATAGGATCGAGAGAGTACAAATAATGATATTCTTGTACGAATCCTGTTGACATAGGGGAAATCAAAGAAGCTACTATCAATTTATTGTGTGTGTGTGTGTGTTATATATATAGTGTATATGCTGCTGAGTGCTGATACGTATATAGCATAAAACGAATAATATAAGTCATGAGAAGAATTGAATGGATGGAATAGTTGTTGAGATGATAGAGCTTGTGGATGGTAGGGTTGTGCAAAAGTCTTGTAGTCTGGTCCAACCCGGTCTGACCCGTGAAAACCCGGTCCAGTCCAGTCCTATAAAATGTTAATCCTGTAGGTCTAAAAAGACCAAAAAAACAGGACTTATTTTTCGGGTAAGACCAGACTAGAGACCAAGCATCTGGACTAAGTGGTCCGGTCTGGTCCTATATAATTATTTTAATATAATTAAAAATAATTTATAAATTATTAATTACTTCAGGCTTCAGTACGCGCAGCTACTCGAGTCTCAATCCACAAAACTCATTCTCAGTTTCTCCACTCTCCAGTGCGCCGAACCCTAGCCCCTGCCTCCTCCTGTACGCCACCTCTGACCACCGTCAATCACGTCGGCAGCCCTTGCTCTTCCCTCTTCATTCTCGCTCGAGCCTTAATCTCTGATTCATTGCTCTTCCCTCTTCATTCTCGCTCGAGCCATTCTCCTGCAATCCTACCCACCGCTGCTCTGCTTCAATCACGTCGGTCCGTCTATTATCGGCATCGCCTCTCGCATCTGATTCACCGTTGAGCACGCCACACCACCGCCCTACCCCTGCTCTCCATTACCCCTAACCTCTGATTCAAAGGCACAGATTTCTTTCCCTCAAATTAAATCGTACTTACCTGCTTCAGCTTCAACTGCTCTGCTAAGTTTTTCGCCAATTCCTGGACGACAAGCGAAGAGGTTACCGTGAGCGGATCATTGCGCCACTAGTATATTTCTGAACTTCCCTTACATACTTTCAATCTGATACTTCCCTTATATACACTGGATCATTGCGCCACTGATATATTGCTGTACCTCCCTTATATTTCTCTCTGTTTCGTTATCCAATCTGATACTTTCGGGAGAAAGTTGTTTTAACTAAGCTCTATGGTGCTTAATTTTGATGAGAAATAGCATGGGCATGGGTAGCAAGCATGCGTGGAGCAGCGGGAAGCATGTATTTTGTTTTGTTTTTTTGTTTAAAATCATTGTATTTGATAGAAATCAACTAATGACTACTAAGCCTTGTATAATGAGTATAATTGAAATCCAAGGCAGGCTATTCGAATGTATTAGAAATTTCTTCATATTTATAACTTGAATATTTACTGCAGTTTGGATAGGCACTGAGATACTTCTTATTTGTATTAGTGATGTTTATGCTCAGTTACCTAGAAATAAAAATCAATTATTATCATTTTTAGACAGTCTTGTTGTGCCTTTGCAACGTGCTTATCAAATTCATTTATGTGTTTAATATGGATTAAAATTTGGATTGACTTGCCTTAGAAGTTGTTTAATATGAATTAAAATTTGTTACATAGGTTTGGATTGACTTGCCTTAGAAGTTGTTTAAAGTTTTTTCCCCATATCTGTGTTGCTCTATTAGAAGGACATTCCTGTGGGATGATTTTTATTAGTAATCACCTTATCAATTATGTGCTCTCATTTTCTGGCTTTTGTGTTCCCTGCCATGATTTTGTGTTATTATAACTTGTCTATTTTGCTTCCTTTTTACCATTTTGCTGTTATAACTTGTCAATTATATTTTATCATTGTGAAGTAATGGATATTGAGCAAACATCTAGTATTGACCAACCTCAATCGTCTCCTTTCACTGGTGAAAATGTGAGTTCAACTCCTTCTGAACCATCTTTGACACCTACTCCTCCACCTCAACCCCCACCTACTATGGAATGTCCTCCTCCCCTTACAACTATAACTGAAAGTGAAGCTACAGAAGGTAGTAGAAAGAGAAAAAGTTCTACAAGAAAGGTGTCAAAAGTGTGGGAACACTTTACTAAGTTACCATTAGAGGAGACAAATGGAGAAGTTAGAGCTGCATGCAAGTACTGTAATTTAGATTATGCTTGTGACCCAGGCAAGCATGGTTTAACATCCTTGAAGAGGCATGTACCAAAGTGTTCCAAGAATCCACATAAAGCTACACAAATGACGAAGCAATCAATGTTGAATTATGTGACACCAAGTGGGCAAGAGGGAAGCTTAGTACCTCATATGTTCAATCAGAAACGATGTCGCAGGGCTCTAGTTAAGTTCATTATATGTGATGAGATGCCATTTAGGCTTGTTGAGAAGGAAGGCTTTAAAAAGTTTGTGAAGGAGTTAGAACCACAATTTCAAATCCCTTCAAGAACAACAGTGGCTAGAGATGCCTGGCAATTGTATCTTGGTGAAATTAGAATCTTGAAAAATTTGTTAAAGAAGTGTACTAATCATCTTTGCCTCACTACAGATTGTTGGACATCAGTTCAAAACTTCAATTACTTATGTTTGATAGCCCATTTCATTAATAATGATTGGAACTTGCATAAGAGGATTCTTAGTTTTTGCATGGTTGAGAATCACAAAGGTGATACGATAGGCAAGACAATTGAAAGGTGCTTATCAGATTGGGGCATACAAAATGTGTTCACCATAACTATGGATAATACAACTTCCAATGACACAGCCTTGTCTTACTTAAAAAGGCGTTTAAAGAATTGGAGGGGTCTTGTTTGTGGTGGTGATTATCTTCAACTACGGTGTTCTGCACATATTCCTAATCTAGTTGTTAATGACAGGTTGAAGGAGTTGAAAGATACTTTTGAGTCCATTCGAAATGCTATTAGATATGTTCGTTCCTCTCCTGCTCGCTTGCAAAGATTTAAAGATGTTTGTGAATTGGAAATGTTGGACACAAAAAGTATTGTTTGCCTTGATGTCAGTACTAGATGGAATTCTACATATTTAATGTTGGATGTGGCTTTGAAGTTTCAAAAGGCATTTGAAAGATTAGAGGATGAAGATGAAGATTTTGTTAGTTACTTCAACAAAGGTTCAAAGCGTCATGCTCAAAGTGACTTTTCTTGTTTAGAGGGTAGCATAGATGCCTATGTTTATAGGCAAGATGCTAGACCCGATGACAACATAGATGCTTTTGCTTACTCTAGGCAAGCTCCTCTTAAGCATAATGGCCCTCCAAACAAACAAGCTTGGAATAAAGCACGGTTCTTTCTTAAGTTCTTGAAGGTGTTTTATGATGTCACTTTACAATTTTCTAGCACACTGAAAGTTACTGCACATACATGCTTCCATCAAATTGCTTTAATTCAAGAGTTGTTAGATGAGAATGTTGAAAGTGATGACCCTCTTCTTAGGGAAATGTCTTTGAGCATGAAGAGAAAGTATGATAAGTATTGGGGGGCAACAGATAATTTGAACCCTTTGTTGATTATTGCTGTGATTCTCGATCCTCGATACAAGCTTGCCTATATCAATCATGTATTTGATCAGCTTTTTCCTGCCCTTGACCTTTGTATGTCCATGAAGAACAAGGCAAGAGACACTTTGTATCGCCTATTTGAGGAATACTCTGCAACAATTGGTCCTGATACAAGCAGTTCTGGTAGTATCAACTCTCCAAGTGCTCTTGACACCAACACTTCAAATGCAAGTAAAGGTAAAAAAGACCCTGGTCGTAGATGGTTAGCATCCCTGAAGCAAAAAAGCTCATCAGTTGATACCCAATCAAAGTTGGATAAATACCTTTCTGCTAGTACATCTGAGGACACCCCTATTGATGATGATGATGATGATTTTGATATCTTAACATGGTGGAAGGTTAATTCTACCAAGTATAGAGTGCTTTCCTTGATAGCACGAGATGTATTGGCTATACCAGTATCTACAGTTGCTTCTGAATCAGCTTTTAGCACTGGAGGACGTGTTGTTGATGATTATAGGAGTTCTTTATCTCCTAAGATGACTGAAGTACTCATTTGTGCCCAGAATTGGCTAGTTGCAGGGCAATCTCTCTCAGAGTTTGTCTCTATGTTTCATGAGGTTGATAATTTTCAAGAGACTGACGATGTGGTTAATGTTGCAGGTAATATATTCAATTTTATATCTCTTAATTTAATGTATATATTGCATTTTTACACTTACTAATCACTTTATATATGTGTATATGATTTTTTTTACAGATGCTTCAAGTGTTATTGACACTAAGGAGATAATTATTTGAAGATTTGTTAAGTTTGTTTCTGTTGAAGCTAAGGAGATAATTACATGACAAATGTAATGTAGTGTTAAACTTTATTGAGTGTTTTTGTTGAAGTTATATATCTAAATCATTTGGAGTTTGGACTGTAACTGAAATATTATTTTCTTGATGTTAGAAATCATTATGAATTATGAATTTATTATGATTATAAGTGTTTTTATTATCTTAATTGAATTTATTAGGTTGAAATGGATTATTGCTTATCATAGAGAAAAAAAAAGAAAAAAAAGTCAAGTGAGTATTGGACTAACAGGACCAGTCTCCCAGTCCTATGGACTAAGTCCGGTCCTGTTAATCTCTGGGTTTTCACAGGACCAGACTGGACTACGGGTTGCCTAATCTAGTCCTTTTCATGAAAAGGACTTGACTTCGGGTTAAGCTGAAGTCCAGTCCCGTCCAGTCCTTTGTGCAGCCCTAGTGGATGGTAATGAAGGAGAAGCAACAATGGGCAGATAGAGACGGAGAGAAAAGTAAAAAGAAAATAGGGATGAGAGAAATTAGGAGGAGAGATTTCCAAACATTGAAATTTTATATTATTTTTAGAAGCTTTTCCTTCTAGTTTTCCTTCTTCCCTAAGTTTCTCTCCATCAAAACAAAGGGTAAACGAATCTGGCCCAATTTAGAAGAATGTATGCTAGGATGCTAATCCGATTTGAGTTTCGATGAAGATCCAATGAGTTATAGTTCTTGATCGTTACATAGACATATGAGGAGATATATTTTCTTTTTGTCAGGTCACGAATTTATTTATGTTTTTTGATCTCGTTTATTTCATGATTAAAAATTTAACTTCTGTAGCATACCACAGGTTTTGTTAGTTTGACACCCTTGAAAGGATTTAGAGTTGCGATTATTATAGAATATTGAAGACTTGAAGTTGACATTGGTTGAAATATATTATGATACACAGAAAAATTAAAATCCCCTATTATTCTTATTTCTGCAATAAAAAAATGCTCTATAATACACTACTAAAAAACATCCATTTTGCGACGAATTTTACCCTAATTTTGGGACGGAATTGTCATCACAAATATAGTTTGGGACGGAATTTGTGACGGATAACCTTCCGTCACTATTTTGCTGGTTGCAAATTGTTTGTGACGGAATTTGAAATTCCGTCCCAATTTGAGATGGATATTTTGAGACGGAACTTCTATCCCTAATTTGGGACGGATCTTAATGTCGCAATGGTGTCCCTAATTTGGGACTGATTATAGTGTCACGAATCTGTTCCAAAAATATGTGAAGGAATTTTCGTCGCAAATGTGGCCCAATATTTGTGAAGGAAATTCCGTCGCAAATGTGTTTCAAATTCTATGAAGGGCTTTTTTGTCACAAATCCGTCACAAATTTATATTTGAAAGAAAACTTTTCTAATTATTTATTTAATTTCAATTGTTATTTCCCCCATCATTATTTTACAATCTCAACTTGTAACAATAATTTTATATATAAAAATAAGCAAAATTATAATAAATTTAACTTAAAGCATCAAGAACAAAATATCTCATTTAGTATTTAAAATTTGATACAATCATACTCAAATGTCAAAGCATAGGAAAATCATTCAAAAGCATTTAAAGTAGTCAAATAACATCATGATCACTAAACAACATCAAACAGAAGCATGAGCTTCATCATCTTCATCTTCATCCTCCACGGGCGGCATACGCTTAAGCAAAATATTGATATTCTTTTGGCAATTTTGAAACTCTTGTCACTGCTCATTTATTATTGACTCAAGCTTTTTGTTCATCTCCGTCAAAGCATCTACACGCTTTTGCAGCTCATTTTCACATTCTGTGTGGAGTCCTGTATGATAAGAGGCATCCTCTACAGAACAAGAGCTATGATATGAAGGAGCCTCAGATCCAATACCAAAAATGCGTCCTTTCCTGTTAACACCACCCACAACTTTCAACGATAATTCTATATCATCAGCATAGTCTTCTACTTCTTCAAGAGATGGATCAATATCTGGGAGCTCTCCTTGATTAGAGGATCTACTAGACCTCTTTAGAGTCATATAATGTTCCTATAAAAAGATAGATAATTAAATTATAATTTAACTCAATTTCATAACTCAACAAATTGAGTGATAAGCATTCATTTAACTTAACAAATTCACAAGATAGCTATAAAGAAAGATTAAAATGCAAATGTTTAACATTCCATAAAAAATACAATGAGAGGTACAATTTTATGTCGATTTCATTCAAATCTAATAACTCATAACTTTATCAAGTATAAAAAATTTCAATGATAAAAATGACTCCCACAATAGGTAGTCAAGCCTCCAGCCATCAATATAATTCCAATGAAAAAATCAAAACAAAGAAATATATATACACTTATATATATATGGGTTTGTGTTTGGGGGGGAAATATTCTGATATTTGGACTTTTGTTAATTGAAACAATAATTATCACATTAGCACGTTAGTTGAGGGAACTTTTTTTTTTATCCAATGGGTTTGTGTTTGAACCATCAGTTTTTAACTTTTAATGTTTGATTGGGAAAAAAAAAAAAATCACGCAAGGAAAATAGCTGAGCACCCACTACACTAGGTATCATCCTTTGACAGTACTTTAACATTAAATATATATGTAATATATTTAAATAATGTCTAAAATATTTAAATTAATATTTTATAGTTTTATTTACATTATAAACCAATTTTTTAATATAAATTGGATTGAAGATTTTATAAATCTATTGGATGACCTCCCACGTGCTGTATCAAAAATAAAACTTTAATTATTCAATAAAATATTTGGTCAAATAAAGATTTAAGAAATGTGAGGTGTATATAGTAATTCTAAGCAAGATAATAATTTGATTAGTAGATAAGTTAAACAAGATTACTCTTATTATGATGAGATTGTTGAAAAAGGTAAATCACTTATAATCAAAGATTGGAATGTGCTATTGTATTTTAACTATAAACAGAATAGTGTAATCAAAGATTCTATTCTACCTATTTTTATTAGCTAATGTCAATAATTTTTAAACTAACAATTTATAAAACCTTGTGTTTCATCATTTTAACTTTAATTATAATCAATAACATATTATTCTAATCATATAATATATAATTAAATAATACAAATTAATCAACAAAAATTAGTATAAATATATTTTTTAAAAATATTACTAAAATTGACATTTGTATTAAATAAAAAATTAAAAAAATTATATAATTTAATATTAATTAAATGGACCTGTTATCATATTTATTATAAAAATAATTATGATTAAAATATATAAATATATATTATTAAATATTTGTGACGGCTTTGTCACTCCTTTGGGACAAAATCCATTGTGAAGGAATATTCCATCCCAAAAATCCGTCACACATATTTTTGGGACAAATAAATTAGTTACACTTTTTGTCACAAATATTTGGGATGCCATTTGTTAGCAATAATTTGGAACACCAAATTGTGTCCCAAATTGCATCCCAAACTTCTGGGACAGAATTGGTGTCCCAAAATCCATGACAAATATTTGGGACAAAATTTGGAATGAATTGGAGATGCATTTGTGACTCTTTATGTTCTGTCACAAAATTTTGTCCCAAATCCCTTGTTTTCTTGTAGTGATATATATATATATATATATATATATATATAAAGAGAAAGAAGACGTTTCACCTCCTAGCTAGATTGAAGACCTTTCCTAGAGGAGTGTTAGAAACTTGCATGCGACACTTTGACTGCAGATATAAAGAAATTTAAATCATGAGTTTCCATTCAAAAATTGGCCCAAAAAAGTTTCCATTAGAAAATTAAATTCTCATCTTCTTTCTTTGTAATTTCTGTTATTTTCCTCTTATGTGCAAGAGTTTTGGCAGACTCTAGTTTCCACTATTATGAAATTGAACGAGTTATTACCGTGCTATCAGAATTGCATTTATTATTTTTTACGTTTTTCTTTAGATGTAATTTGCCTTTAATAGAGTAGAAAATGAGTTATTGATATGCTATTACAACTTACACTATCCTCAAGGCTTTAAAAAAAAAAAAAAGGTAACCTTCAAGCAAGATTGTAAGCACGCTGAAGATTTATTTTGATTGAAATTCGTTGTACCAGAACATGTGTATCTTCAAAGCCAGCCCCATTAAAATATGTGTATCTTAGACTTGTGCTTGTACCATGTGCCTAGCAAGAAGTTTGTTGAGGTGGAATTTGAGCTTCAATCATTTATTCATTTCATTTAAATGGATGTGGTTTTTTTTTTTTCTCATTGGAACAAATGTCATTATCCATGAATATTTATATTGCTCTAAAAAGTGAGGAAAATTTTAATAGACTAATGTATTTTAGATTTTTTTTTGGGAATAAGCATTAAGGGGGACCGATATATTATAAGATAATATATGAAAAAAAAAATGAGGTTGTAAGCTCTTTTCTCTTAGAAAATATGAGTAGTGATTTCCTCCTATTTGGACTGGATTTACGTGAAAAGTCTTAATTATGCCTTTAAAAGTAAGCTATTACTAATCTTGTTTGTACAGATGTGTATTAGTTGTTTCTTTGACACGTTTTGCTCCAAGTTGCTCATTTAAAAAGAAAAAATTTGATCAGTTTTAAATGTTACATATAGGAAGTATAATATGTGAAAGTGTTGATTTAAAGCTACTTCAACTGTACAGGTCTGTTTGCTATTATTTCCCTCCATCTATCTTTATTGATGTTTATTTTGGATCTTTCCCTGTTCAGTTTTATTAAACATGTATTATTGAGGATATCATGTGATGATGGTTGATTATGGTGATCTGAATAATGATGCTTGTAAAATTTGTGTTAAATATTAAATATAAAATTTGTATTTTTAGTATTGTAATTAACTCTGAAAGTTTAGATAAGCCAAATTAAATTGTAGTCAAATAACCAAAGGTTTATGTGTTTCCTTTTGGTTGTCTTGACTGATGGGCTAGCTTAGCTTCCTTTT